TGCTGTTTTGTTGTTTGTATGTCAACAGGTTTGTTGTATGTTTTTTTCAAATCATGTAGTTTTGATAACCAGCTGTTTTTCAACACTGTATTCTCCATCTCTTTAAGTGCATAATATGCTATGTTGTTTTCATCAATGGATTTTAGGTGTTTATAGTATCTGAGAGCTTTGTATTGAATGTTACATAACAGTGGTAGTCGCCCTGTATCCATTCTAACAGCTATGTTACTGGTAGTGTTATTTACATTTACTATATGTCTACAAAAATTTAGGTGGTATTTTTCTGTGCTAGTTTTATCCCATCTACTCCAGTTTGTGCATAATCCCCATATTTCTCCAGCGTATGTTAAAATTGGTAGTTGAGTTGTTTCAAGTAATTTTGTTTTCAATTTTACATGGTTGTTGTTACTACCACTGAAAAGATGGAGTTGAGCCCTTTCAGTTTTCCTAGCCTTGTCAGATAACCTGTCCATTGTTGTATCCATTGAGCCATTTGTATTAAAAGTCACTCCAAGATATGTATAATGTGAATTGTCAGGGTTCAGGTTATGGGTGAGAGGGCCTTAAGAAACTCTTTGCGATTTTCCTCTTGATGTTGCATACCCCCCCTACCGAATATCCTAATTGACAAGAAATTAGAATAGAATAGAATAGAATAGAATAGAATAGAATAGAATAGAATAGAATAGAATAGAATAGAATAGAATAGAATAGAATAGAATAGAATATTTTTCTTGGTAACTGATCACGAATGAATGTATCAAGATCAAGTGTGAACATTTTATCACAAAAAAGTAAGTACAATCTCAATTTCAAGGACGGTGTTTGTCCCACAGTCGGCCTTTTCATGTCTATGTTCATAATAAGTGTGTGGGAGCCAAACATTAAAACTATAACATTCATATATGATACTAATTATTTTAATAATATTGACTTAGAAACGGAAAGGCCGCCAATTGTTTGCAAGATCAGGATTATTAGTACTTATGATAATACACACACCTTAGATATTTGGAATATTTTCTGTTTCCTGTAATACCTGTCCGGTGGAGGACATCTTGGCATCCTCAAACACCAAGAGAGCCGCATACTTAACGAGGGTGATCGAAAATTGTTTCACGAAAAGACTGACCTCGGATGACACATGGAATCGGTCTGAACCACCTAGCTTACTTAATTTCAACCCGCTCGTGATTTTGTTTCGTTTCCACAAAAAGAAAAAAAAATACGTTCACACGCTCGATTTGCTTGGTGAGCACGAAATCATATCTCCTTGGTAAACAAATCTAAATTGCGGAATTTATTTTTTGTTGAAACAAAAAATAACTTGAATGAGATTATTAGTAGGCTAAGGGGCTTTGCAAAACATTGTAGGCAAGAAGCACCGAACACACATTTCTAAATCACATGGTATTTCACAACACTGACTAAATAGTGGATTTTTAATAAATTCTGGCTTTGGTTTGCTGTTAATGTTTGTCAAATGGGTAAGAAGAACAAGAACGCTTCTGGTCTTGGACAGAGTGTGATTAAAGACCGCTTTCGCGTCAAAAGCAAAAGACAAGGGAACGCAGACACGTGGGTTAGTATGTTATTGACATGTATGTTCAGTATTAAATCTCAGAACTAAAAGCAGATGCAAGTTTCATATAATAAACACGTCTCACTTAAACAGTTGAGGAATTATTTCTTAATTATAGGCTTGTGCAGACATTCTTGGGTTCTTGGATGTGATATAATAATAATTATTTTTCCTATTAAGCTTTTAATATCTTTTAATTTTAATTTTATCTTATAGTTTAGCTACTGTATTTTTTTTTATGATTTGTATTTTATTTACCATACTGCGCCCTCTGATAGCATAGTAGTGTAATAAAGTTATTATTATAATAATATTACTTTCTTATTAGTGTAATAATACTGTATACTTTTACTATTATCTATAACCATTGCCACACTCTCCGGGGAGTGAGTAAGAGTTAATAAATAAATAATAATAATAATAACTTTATTACACATGAATACCATCAGAGATATTTCACTATCAGAGGTACGTAGCCGTGATCTCCGATGTTTTTGGTTCAATTAGGTTCATTTGTCTGTCAGTAACCACAGCTGTATCTGTGTAGGGACTGGACTCAACGCAGCGGTGTAAGCCTATTTTCAATATGGTTATGTGGAGAAAGAGTATATTTCCTAAATCTATTGAAAAAAACAAAGACATCTGGGTTAGACAGTCAAGAAAATTCATCACTATCTGACAGGGCTAGCGAACCTGGAAAAATGCTATCCCGACTAAAATCTTACTGGCCCTGCTACTTTTTGCAAGAGTATTCTCTTTTCGCCATCATTGTGAATTGAAGATAGAAAATATTTACATAGCAATGCTCTCGAACAGTAAGTCATCAATAGAGATAATGGGAGAGTATTACAGGTATATGTACCCTGTACTAAGATGTGTGCCTGCACTCCTGTGATAGTTGTAACTGACAAATATGTTTGTGTACAACTAGCAACTTTATTACCGGTACTCAATCAAACTATGTTCTTGATTTATATTCAAATTCACATAACCGCAAATTGTGAGTTTTTCTCAGCCATAGCATTTCTTTCAAAATTTCTGGTATGGCTGGCAAAGATACTGTATGATTTAATGCTATACAACGTAAAATTGGTACATCCCTTCACTTACATGTCTGCATCATATTTTCGGCACACATCAAAGAACATTTTACTCTTTTCCTTTCATAATAAAGGAAATATTTAGAAAAAAATGTAATGTATATTAATTTGAGTGTTATATTTTCTTTTGATTTTGTAGTTACATACAAGTGATCTTCAAGATGGATACGACTGGGGAAGACTCAATCTACAGTCTGTGACAGAGCAAAGTACCCTGGATGAATTCTTAGCTATCGCTGATCTTGCAGGAACCGAATTTACTGCAGGTTGGTGCAAAAAAACTTTCCTGTGATAATCAATCCACTTATCCTAGGATTCTGTGACTTCAGTTTGGAAATTTTTGACTTTTGAAAATTTTGACTGCCATGAGATGTAATATGCAAATTTTTTTTTAAAAACCTAAGAAAATTTGGTCACCAACTGAATATTGTATGGGAAACTAGGATTCCATTGGAAATCAGGTTTAGTAGCTAGCCTGTTGTTGATCGTGTGTACATCACTTTAATGGCTCGGTTGTGGTGACAAGCTTTATCCCAAATCTGAAGAATGAACTTTTAAGACATATGTACACAATTAAATCATAAGGATCGTCGCCTGCGCATGCGCGAGAATTGAGTCCCAAGCGATGATAACATGCACTAAAACTGCAAAGGCTCATGGGTAGACACTTGTTTGTAAACAGTGACATGCTATGGCCGTCTGACACATGTGCAGGCTACAACTCCCACACTTTTAATGTGATACACGATGAAGATCCCATTTGAAGTTGAGTGAATTTCAAAATTAAAAAATTGCAAGTCAAACATGCATCTAATACTAAGAAAAAAAGAAATACTAATACAAATAATAATGTTGGTGAAAGAAAGCCTAGTGTTCTTATTGATTTGCAAAATATCATCGATGCATCGTTAATTTTTGTTTACAAAGTCAAAGCATTTGTCAATGTGTTCTATGACGCCATTGGTCGGAAATAAATTGGATTTACGCACACATGGAATTCTCTCAGAATGAGATCTTTCTCGCATATCACAGTGTGTTGATACCCTCATCATATAAATACTTGATAACATAAATTCTATTTTTATTCTGTAAATAGAAAGACTGAACGTCAAGGTGGTGGATCCTTCCAAAGATACAGGACTGCCGTCGATAGAAGAAGTGTCAGCAATCAAAGATGCACAGCTGCAAAATAAAGACTTTCTTAAAATTCCAAGGAGGTAGATTTGTTATTATGTCTTTAAAAAATCTGTGATTCCCCAGGACCCAAGTAAAAGTCACTGTAACTCACTAGGACTCCATTGAATGTGAGTGCGACTTCCTGGGACCCTAGTGCAGTCATTGTGACTCCCTAGAACCCAGCGAAATAATCATTGTAATTTGACCTGTTTAGGCTGTTTTTTATTTAGTTTAATCTTGCTGTGACAAATTCTTCATTTTTGCTTCCAAAAAAACAATAGAAATAAGAATAATTGAAAAATTATTTTATTGACATAAAAATTTGTACTGGGCTAAGTGGTATTGAGAACCTCATTTATATCGAGGTAAATGGTATTACTAATAGATAATACCTCCCTGTACTCTAATGGTTTCAGACCTGCATGGGATGCCACTACCACACCTCAACAATTAGAGTTATTGGAGAGGGATAGTTTCCTGGAATGGCGGAGACAGTTAAATGTGTAAGTATTCATGTGCAAATCTTCTTTACTGTGATTTATTCACTTTTCACAGGAATTACCTGAAATGTTACTGAATTATCCGCTGTCAATGGTTATTTGGAACCTTTCACAAAGCAAAATATCAAAAAATTGCAGTTCTTATGAATTTGTTGCATTTTCACTAAATTTTAAATCTGATAGTGTTAGAAATTAAATAAATCTTTTATTTTCATTCGAGGCTTATTCCCAGTGAAAAAATAAAACTATTTTGTTTCTATGGATGAGAAAAATACACTGATCTCTGTTGTGACAAGATTTTATTCAAGACAATAGTCAATATATTGTCAGTATAATTTCAATCAAACTGTTTTTAAAACTTACTACAATGAAGTGATTTATGTTTTGAAGCAACTCTAAGGTGATGATATGATGTAATTAAGAAATGTGATGTGATCTGAATGCAAAGTAGAGATTTTATGCAAAAGTTGCGCTGTAGTTAGCTGTATTGTCATAGATGTACCACTATATCGATACGAGTGAATCTTGCACAACTTTTAGAACGCTGAAACTTCTCTGTTCCATTTCAGGTTACAGGAAAAAGAACACATTGTATTGACTCCGTTTGAAAGAAATTTAGATTTTTGGCGACAGTTATGGCGTGTGATTGAAAGGAGTGACGTCATCGTACAGATTGTTGATGGCAGGAATCCGTTACTATTCAGATGTGAAGATATGGTAAACAAATTTATGTTTTTTTGTATAAAGCAAGGCAGCAAAGCTTGGCAGAAATCTGAGTGATAAACCTGGGTCATCTTATTTCAAAAATATACTTTCTATTCTAGTATTGATATTAAGTGGTACTGATTATTATATCTAAAAAATGTTTCAGATGACTATATATGGTCATGTGACCTCAATAATAGGCATAACTGTAATGTCATAAGTACAGTAATTTTGTTGTTTGACAAGATATATTACCATAATATCAAGTGATCATATATTGTCATTATTTCATTAAAGAAAAATATGTCTGTACTTGTTGTTAACCATTTTTTTTGTGGTTTCTGTAACTGTTTTCTAATCTTTTTAACTTGGATACAATGTTAACTAGTGTGGGATTTTGACCAAGTTCACTTTTGGTCTTTTATTATTCTGGTAGCAATAAGTCAATTGTTGTCTGAGATTCAATCTTATAATCCAATATGGATGTGAAAATTTGACTAAAATTCAATGTTTGTTAGATATAGAAATGATTGCGGAAATGAAAACATTTGTACTGCTGATCATGAGAACTAGATAGTTATATAGTCCAGCATCTGTTAATTGTTATTTACGGTAATATCTGTCTTCTCTATGACCATGCCCACTTTGTTAGTCTTCATTCAGATGAAGTCCAAAAAAAAAGGGACTTATGTTTTGACCTTTTTGTGTGCGTCTGTACATCTTGATTACCGATTACATTCATACATCATGTTTTTTGGATTACTTATGCATGTCAATTAGTTTTATTATCCAATTCAAAATGACCAAATTGCAGCCATTTTTGTGCTAAAAATTCATCAAAATCAAGCATTTTTGCCATTTCAGAATCAAATTTGCTTACATACATGTACAATTGAGCATTATGGTAGTCTGCTGCACATCATTGTTTTTCAGATCTGGCAGCCATTTTGTTTTAATGAATTGGTTCTAGAGCAATATCTCCAACATACCTGGACTGATCATGTTAAAACTTTAGATATACATCATGTGATACATATACACATATACTCATTTGAAAGTCTAATTGAAGATTGCCAAATGGCAGCTATTTTATCCAGCATTTCTGCCTTTCCAGAAGCAGATTTTCATCAATGAATTTTGTTCAAACTTGGTACAAACAATGGACACTATGTAACGCACAGATGGCGATTTTGTTTAACAAATGCCCTACCAGAGGTATATCTCCGATCTCGTCCATACTTTATATATACATCATGTTGCACATATCTATCATCACAATCAAGTATTTACTGTTCATGTTAAAATCTTGTATATTTCTTTAACTTGAGAACTCATGGGGACTATGTAATTAATTTTCTTTTTATTATGGAGACCTCGATGTTGAAATTTTATGAATATTTTGTTTTTATTGTTTTTCAAAGGAGAAATATGTGAAGGAAGTTGATGAAAATAAAGACAACCTGGTTTTAATTAATAAAGCAGATTTACTTAATGAAAATCAAAGAAAATCATGGGCAGATTATTTTACAAAAATTGGTGTTAAAGTTGTGTTTTGGTCAGCAGTTGAAGAAGCAGAAAGGCAGAAACAAATGGTGAGCATCTATTAGTTTCCCTGTAACCAGTTATTGAAGTTCTCCGTTGCAGGTTCGAAATTACCCATCAGTTTTAAGGTTGCCCATTACAGTTTTTAGATAAATGCAAATTACCTAATTAATATGCACATACGATATGTAGAACTATTTTGTGAATGGTGACAAAACTTTGGTGCTCAAATGATTAATGATATGCAAATTACCTAATTAATATGATGTTTTTAAAGTTCAGTGTTGTCTATCTTACAGAGATAATTATGGTGATGCCCTTCATCAGTTATGCGTAGCACATTATTAAGCGTGGAATTACCCTAAAAAATAGTTTTGTATTTGTTGAATCTTACTACGACGCTATGACCTTTGCTCTGTTTTTACGCTCTATTTCACGCATAACGCAGGATCCCGCTGTGAAAGGAAGATAGTTTACCATATTACTGTGCACAAAAAAAATGTTTTATATTGTTTGTCGCATTCATCTTGCACTTTCAAACTTGTGTTTTAGGGGAATAAGTGATTGAATATTTAATGAAGCGATTATGTTTTCCACCCACAAAATTTGATTACCCGATGCTTTAGGTTACATCTACTCATACATATTTAGGTGTTTTGCTAGTGAACTAGATGTAAACTCTATTTGAAATATTAAACAAGTAATATAAAAATATTATCAAAAAAATTATGATCGACTCGTATGAATAATATTTGTTTTTTAGAAAGAAGAAGCAGATGCAGAAGATAATGAGGAGGAGGAGGACGAGGATGAGGAGGAGGAGGAGGAGGAGAGCAACAGTGATGACGATGACAGTGATGATAAATATGACAACAAGGACACTACAAATAAGGATACAGATCAGAGTGAGTCTGTAGCATTAGATGAAACCATGACAACAGGAGTAAGCAAAACTTACACAACTGAGGAGAAAAGTTCTGATCATTGTGAGTGCCACGAAACTGATAAAGTTGAAGAAGAGGGAGAAAAATCACCTGAGAAGAGTGATGATAAAATGCTCAGATGTGAAGAGGATAAAACAGCCGATGTAGAACATGATGATTGTTGCCATGGAGGCACTGCAGCTGATGAGAAAGAGAAATTGAGTGTAGACACTGAAACAAGGACTTCAGAAATGCCAACACAAGATACAGGAAGTGCTGGAAATGATTCAGATGGAAGTGTTGGTTGTGGTGAACATGATCAAAAAAAAGTGTCACTTAGTGACAATGGATCTGAGGTGGTGTCTTCGCAGGAGTCTTGCAGCGAAGAAATTGCTAATAGCGCTAGAATTCTGAATGGTGATGAATTATTAGAGCTATTTAAAAGCATGCACCAGGGACCGAAGGCTAATAAGAATATGGTGACTATTGGGTTGGTAAGTGACTTGAATTGTATTAAAGTAAAACTTTGAAATAACAGTAGCAGATAGGTTTTTGTGCCAGAACTAACATTGAAATGCAGGGCTCCCGCTACTCCATCACCACTTCGCCAATGGTGATGAAAAACTGTAATGACTAAGGATTTTCCGATCTGGCGAAAAAGTTGGCGAATTTTTAAAAATCAGTAAAAAATCTGACCTGCATAATATGCCTGCAAACTAACAGTTTATTATCTCAAATTTCCATATTTAGGCAAACAATTTTGCTCAAATAATTCCAAGAAATAATGTCACGATCTTTCAGAAGTTTCATCGTATCCATAGGGTTTCATTTACGCAATGTTGTTAATGTGCTTGTACAGATTTTCAGAAACGATATGTGCATGTACAGACTTACGATATGTGCATGTACAGATTTTCAGAAACGATATGTGCATGTACAGACTTACGATATGTGCATGTGCAGATTTTCAGAAACGATATGTGCATGTACAGACTTACGATATGTGCATGTGCAGATTTTCAGAAACGATATGTGCATGTACAGACTTACGATATGTGCATGTGCAGATTTTCAGAAACGATATGTGCATGTGCAGATTTTCAGAAACGATATGTGCATGTGCAGATTTTCGGAAACGATATGTGCATGTGCAGATTTTCAGAAACGATATGTGCATGTGCAGATTTTCAGAAACGATATGTGCATGTGCAGATTTTCAGAAACGATATGTGCATGTGCAGATTTTCAGAAACGATATGTGCATGTGCAGATTTTCAGAAACGATATGTGCATGTGCAGATTTTCAGAAACGATATGTGCATGTGCAGATTTTCAGAAACGATATGTGCATGTGCAGATTTTCAGAAACGATATGTGCATGTGCAGATTTTCGGAAATGATATGTGCATGTGCAGATTTTCGGAAACGATATGTGCATGTGCAGATTTTCAGAAACGATATGTGCATGTGCAGATTTTCAGAAACGATATGTGCATGTGCAGATTTTCAGAAACGATATGTGCATGTGCAGATTTTCGGAAACGATATGTGCATGTGCAGATTTTCAGAAACGATATGTGCATGTGCAGATTTTCAGAAACGATATGTGCATGTGCAGATTTTTTCAAAGTAGGTTTGCGTTATCCCGAAGTGTATTTTACTTCATTTGGACACTGTCATCAATAATGACGGAAACAATTTTGTTTTGGCTAAAAATAGTAGCTATAACATTATATTCTTGGCGAAAAAAAAAAATGTTTTGGCTAAGAAAATGGCTAAAACTTTTAATTTTCTAGAGGGAGCCTTAGAAATGTAATGAGATCAAATCTGACAAGCATCTAATCCACCAGTACCTTGGGCACAGACTCAATGAAGAGGCCAAATACTAGTTTGTTCTAAGCTGATTATTTTGATGTTGTTAATGCGACAGAAAATCACACATTGATATTGTGATCTTGAAAAACATCTTATTAAATTTTTAGAAAAATTATAGAAATTCAGGAAAATTTAAAAAATAACTGTGAAAACATAAAATATCACAATGTTTCATAAGTTACCAATGGCCACATAGAAACTTTATTTATTCTTAAAGACCTCTTTAACAAGTTGACCTAACTTTTTATTTCAAATCAAGATCCCTACAAAATCGTTCATCATAGAGTGTACACTGAGAGAAGGATTCATTAATCAATGGGTGCAACTTTTGAAGAAAACTGATTGTATTTGAAATGTTAATAAAAATTGACAAACTTTTTGATCAAAAATTAAAAGAAATATCCGAAACTGTCCATATGGATCAAAATGATGATGAAATTTAGTAAAAATTTGACAAAAAGTGAAAATATTTGTACTAAATTTTGGATGGGAAAATCTTTCGGCACTCAAAGGGTTAAAACGATATGATGACGTGATATAATTAAAGTCTAATGGAGATTATACTAATGCATTTTTTTCTGACAGCAAAGATGCCTTATTATTAATTGCGCATTTCTGGTTTGTCTACAGGTCGGTTATCCCAATGTTGGTAAGAGTTCTACCATAAACGCATTGTTACAATGTAAAAAAGTTCCAGTGTCAGCAACGCCTGGCAGAACTAAACACTTTCAGGTTAGTGAGGATTGAAAAATAGTATAATTTTGTGGCGAATGTTGGAAAAATAATACTTACATACATGTATGCATGCATCCATTCTTTTCCTTTTACCTGTAAATATGTATATATTTTTTTTCCTATTTCAGAATTGTATTTTTTACAAATAATATGGGTAATAAACCATCATATGATATGATATCATATCATTCAAATACTGATTTGATTTTCCGGCTTTATTTTCCACTTTCTTTATATCAAAATTTGGTTGCTTCCTCACTGAACATTAGATGCAAAGAATTCAAATTTAGTAGATCAACAGTCCTGATCAGTTCCTCATGAGTTGGCAAATCATGTCTCAACTGCTTGCGAAACATGATTTCTTACATACCTTTGATGAAAATTGTTGCCAAGCGAGAGAGAAAAAAACAAAGATGGTGTTTTTGCCTTTCAAATCATGTTCCATTTTCTCATGCCATCATGTTCACCAAGGTTACACAGGATAGGGGACAGTAAAAACCTTGACAAGGAAGGCATCTGGGATATATTCAGACTTTTTGTGGATTTGTATTAATTTCAAAATGATGTCATTGTATTAGCTCATTGGAGGCCACACCTTTTACAACTAGTTATGACTGTCAATATGTGTTAGTTAACATATGGAGTCTGAATTATCAAATTATTTGTGAAATATGGATGACTGGACTCCCTAAGTTTTTTTAAATGAATTACAAAATGAACTTAACTTCAACATTCACTAAAAAATTATGCAAATGATATGTTTCTAAGAAAATGTATGTCAATGGCAATAACACTTTTTTTTTATAAATATTTTTTTCTAGACTTTGTTCGTTGAACCTAGTCTGTGTCTGTGTGACTGTCCTGGATTGGTGATGCCATCATTTGTGTCGACAAAAGCTGAAATGGTTGTCAATGGCATATTACCAATTGATCAAATGAGACAGCATTTACCACCAGTTTCACTGATATCCTTATATGGCAATTATGCAAATAATTTATGCTAAGTACTACCAAATATGCAAATAGTTGCAATTGTTATCCTGAATCACTATTCCACTGAT